CTTGTAGAATCCATGCCATGAAGTACCGAGACTGTTTTGAGACCAAAGGGAGGCTCTACCCAGTACTAGTATAGTGTTCCTAATAAAGTGCTCTGTGAGTATCAGTCAAAACATTGGCACAAAACCTTGAAGTAATAAGCTGTCTATTAAATCAAAATAAATGCTACACTCGGAATAATGAGATATTAAGTAAAAATTGCTAGCAACCTACTGTATCATAAAATAAAAAGATACTATAATATGATATTTCATCAAAAATACCCAGAGATTATCTTGAAAAACGAGACATCAAGTTGAAATAACTAAACAATATCTATTACACCCCAAAATAATAAGATATTAAGTTGGAATTATGACATAGCACTGTAATGTTTTTCACAGCTTGCGTTTCCGCGCTGAATAATTTACTGTAGCCGGTGTTGTCTTTTTTCCGGTACGACCCCCTACAGTCATGGTAATATAAAACAGTAGACGGAGTATGTTTCCATTACAACTGTCAGATTGAATGTCACAGTTCACGCACTGTTTAAATCATACAGTTTTTTCATTATATTTACATACTCAAATGCAACAACCCTGAATGTTTAAAAGCCCCTATTCATTACATTTACATGGATTCATTTAACAGACGCTTTTATCCAAAGCGACTTACAAATCGGAGATTCTGTTTTTGGTCGCCTGTTTGTTGAAAACGTCTAATTTTAAAATTAGAACAGAAATATAACTGCATAAGCCTCTTTTGATCCATTTTAATACTCCTAATCTGTACACACTTTAACACCAGATATCTGTTCAAACTCACTGTGCTTCATATATAATAATTCACATAACCTATTTTACTCCTGCATGGCTTTGCATTTCCCCAAAAAAACCTTTTCATTTTAATCCCGTCCTTTTCCCCTGATGACCAGCTGTCATCGTTCCCTCCATCTGACCTTCTAATTACTCATCAGTACTAACAGATGTTTTTTTTTTTTATTTTCCTTCATCCAGTCAGTCCTTTTATTTATTTATTTATTTTTGGATGATTTGCCTTCTGAAAGCTGATTGGCTGGGCATGTGATCGCATGACCACAGGACTGAGTTCTACCAAATGTCCGTTCACTGCTGGAGTCTTTATTTAATGTTTCAAAGTAGCTACAGGAAGAGAAACAGCTCAAGTGTCGCAAGATAACCGCGCTTATCTTATCTGATCTGTTCTCGGCTGCCTCCTCTTGCACAGTTCAGTGCAGTTGGTGTAACATGACATGGCCGAGCGAACGAGATTTGACGGCGACTTAAAACACACGCAGAATGTAAATATGGGTATGATTTTAATATAATAAGATGTCTCGAGCGCATGGGATTAGGAAGAAAACGCACTCCTTTCATCAAAGTCTACACTGTGATGAATTGATTATGAAAGCTTGGATTTCACCGCTCGCTCACCACTTCTCCATTTTCCGTATTATTGTTGTCTCTTATTTTCTCACCTCCGTGTCTCCAGGTCGTTTCACATACGTAACATCCTCATGCATGCTGGAATAAAGTCTAAAAAGTTTCTTTTGCTTTCATGAGCGCTGGCTTGGAAGCTAAACTAAAATAAAGAGTACTTCATATCTTCTATTAGCAATGTACGGAGAGTTGTTTATGCAAACGAGCATACTTTTTCTTTTTTTTTTTAACTGAGCATACTTTTTCCTCCATATCTTCTATTAGCAATGTACGGAGAGTTGTTTATGAAAGAAAAGAATGACCGATGGGAAGATACGGACAGGAATGCGAGAGTAGGAGCCTGTGGAAGAGTGTAGGAGCGGCTGAAAGGATTGAGGACTGAGCATAATATATTCTGGAGAGAATGTAGAAGGAGGACGGACGAGAAACAGTTATTAACCCAAGGACAGGGTGGTGAAGCGGAGTTACTGTTTCCTGTTAAGTTTTCTTCTAACAGCACGTCCCGAATTGTTCTATTCCTTTTACACCACTACCGACAATTACTATTCTTTTTACGTGAAGAACATGATGTCAGGTTTTATCCGTTTATGGTCGCGTTTAACGTTGAGGAACGTCACGTTACTTAGAAAGCACAACGTACTCTGATGTGATGACTTCCTGTGGCAAAATAATTACGGACTGTATCAAAGAGCTGACACTGGAGACTCCTTCCGTAAATGTTAAATTGATCCTTGCAGAAAGCTTCACCTTATCAACAATTTGTTTGTTTGTTTTCTTAGCAGGAGCGATTTACAAATTTAAAGACATTTGTGGAGGACCAGCTTCAGACCAGCATGGTTCGTATAGATCAGACACAAATTACACAATGTAATTAATGCGAAGCTCTATAGTAAATGATTAATGTTACCAGTGGAGATGTTGATATTGCAAGAACAGTGGCCGATATTTCATTAGATATATACTACATTGTTTTTAATCTTTAGTTTTGCAGTGTATGTTTGAATTTTCCACGTTTCCATAAGTGTTTAATGTTGCAGTCGTAACTAATACACATTTCTCCACCCTCTGTTCACAACTCTTCTACCCTGATCTTGTATTTTCTCTATTCTGTTGTCTATTTCTAAGATGGTGGGAATAGTGCTTGGTGCTGGCATCGCCATCGTCCTCATCGCGACCTTCATCTTCTTTGTGCTGCGCAGGATTCACCTCCGGAGTGAGTGTCCGAAACGTTGTACACGAGTCCCTCGTCGTCTACAGTACTCGAATCTGCTTTTCATGTTCGACACGGATTTCTCATGACGTCCGATGTAATCTTCTGGCTTTTGTGTTGTTTTTTTGTCGTGCTTTTTGCAGACCTCGCGGCTCAAGAAGCCCCCAAATATCGCTTCCGCAAGAGAGACAAAGTTTTATTCTATGGCAGGAAGATCATGAGGAAAGTCTCTCAGTCCACCTCGTCTCTAGTCGGAACGTCATCGTCTTCTTCCTCCCGTCCGAGACTGAAGAAGAAACAGAAGATGCTCAACATTGCCAAAAAGTAAACGTCGAGTAATAATAGCAGAGCTGTAGGGTGATGGCGTCAGGGAAATTTGCCATCATTTCTTCTTTCATGTCATCTCTCTCTCTTGCTTTCGCGTGCGCTCTCTTTTACCTTCAGGATCCTGCGCTTTAAGAAAGAGGTGCCCATCCTGCAGATGAAGGAGCCTCCTCCCTCAGTGCTAGAGGCTGATCTCACGGAGTTTGATGTTGCGAACTCGCACCTACCCTCAGAAGTGCTCTACATGCTCAAGAACGTGCGGTAAATAAGCACTTACTAGTTCAGTCTGGGGAGGGGGAAGGGGTTGGGTTTGGGGATCGATGATGCAATTATTTATCTCTTACACAAATCACTTAGTGTCATTTAGAGACTCTACTCTACTTTACAGCCTACACTACTTAGAAGGAAGATGGAAAATGTTGGAGTACATCAGAGTATGGTCAACTGGTTAACTGACTTTCTCTCTAATATGCATGACGAGGATGCATGACTGTGTGTCTCAAGTAGTGGCAGTACTGGCGTCCCTCAAGGAACGGTTTTAGCTCCATTTTTGTTTACTTTTTATATGTCAGATGTTCAGTACAACTTCAGAAATTCTCTGACGACTCGGCAATCGTTGGCTGTATAACCCACCGTGATGAGGATGAATATAGGGAGCTATTAAAGAGTTTTGTGGACTAGTGTGAGATAAACCGATTTAGGCTAAATGCTAGTAAGACTAAGGAAATTGTGGCCGATTTTAGTAGATATCCTCAGCAAGTTGCACCAGTAAACATAGGAGGGTCGGAAACTGAGACTGTACCAACGTATAAGTACCTGGGTGTATACTCGAATAGCAAGCTTGACTGGTCTGACAGTACGAAACAATACAAGTCTACAAAAAGGGATGAAGTCGTATTCATTGTTAAGTCGACTGAGATCCTTTGGGGTATGTCAGGTACTACTTAAGACCTTCGACGATTCTGTAGTATCATCTGTGATCTTGTATGATGTCAGAATGTTAGGGAGGGGGATTGTGGGAAAAGGAGAAGAACAAATGAAATAAGCTTATACAGAAGGCAGGTTCTGTTGTGGGGAGTGTGTAACTCACCGTAGAGGAGATTGTGCATGGTAGAATGATTGATAAATTGGTCTCTATAATGAATTACGATCGTCACCCCTTTCACGAAACAGTTCGAGCCCTAGTGAGTACAGTAATCTCAAGATTCATTCATCCCTTTCGTCACAAGGAGCGATTTAAAAAAAATAATATCTTTTTTTTAACCAACTGCTATTAGACTGTACAATCAGTGCTATAGAAGATGATGAATCATTTGGTTGCATATAATCGTATATAATGCCTTGTGGAACTGATACTGTAAAGTCATGATTGTTGTCATGAATGTCTTTATATTTATTTTATTATTGCGTATGTGCTGCTCTGACGTAAATTTTTCCCCTCAGGGGATTAATAAAGTTTAATCCATCAATCAGTCATAAACGGTGACACGAATCCACGTTTTTACCTACAAGTGATCATATTAAAATGTAGAATACAATACACAAATACTATTGGTCTGTAACTTAATGCAAAATCAAATGTGTCTCTGTGCTGTGTGTGTGTGCGTGCATGTAGTGTATTAGGCCACTTTGAGAAGCCATTGTTTCTGGAGCTGTGTAAGCACATGGTGTTCCTGCAGTTCCAGCAGGGCGAGTATGTCTTCAGACCCGGACAACCGGACAGCAGCATTTACGTAGTGCAGGACGGCAAACTGGAGCTCTGTCTTACTGGTCAGGTGTGTGTATGTGAGCTTGTGTGCATTTCTTCCGCAGGTTCTTTCACCTTCATTGTCTTGAGTTTGCGTATAGGGTTAGGATTTCTACCATTGTGCATGGCTGTGTATGTATATCAACGTATATCATGTAATATATCGATATATATCGGTAGTTCTTGGTATCAATGTTTTTTTTTTTAAATCAGAAATACAAGGTTACGTGCGTTGTTAGACCCTTGCCATTGACCGACTGTGGGGTTTTGTCGCTGTTGTCGCTGGGCAGTGGTAGCTCAGTGGTTAATACACTGTACTGCTGTTCGAAAGGTTGTGAGTTCAAATCCCAGCACTGCTGAGCTGCCACTGTTGGGCCCTTGAGCAAGACCCTTAACCCTCAACAGCTTAGTTGTATAAATGAGGTAAATGTAAGTCACTCTGGATAAGGGTGTCTGCCAACACACATTAAACGTAAATGCTTAGCTTTATTAAAGAATACTCCTATCTCTGTCTACTGCATCCGTGGCTCATGTGTGAGTACCATAGACAAGATTTTGTCTCTGTCTCTCTCCCTGTCTCTCTGTCCCTTTCTCTGTCTGTCTCTGAAGGATGGGAAGGATGGAGTGGTTAAAGAGGTGTTTCCAGGAGATTCGGTTCATAGTCTACTGAGCATTCTTGATGTCATCACAGTAAGCCACACCCACATCTCCATATATGTTATGTATTTGGTATGTATATAACGTATGCAAATGAGACAAGGTATCTCATATAAAAAATCGTTGTTTAGTAGTTATTTTCTGTGTGCGCACGCGTGTGTGTTACAGGGTCACCAGAGGCCGTATCGGACGGTGTCTGCCAGAGCTGCAGAGGTGTCCACAGTCCTGCGTCTGCCTGTTGAGGCTTTCCTGTCCATCTTTGAGAAGTATCCAGAGAGTTTAGTGCGTGTGGTGCAGGTCTGTGTGTGTTCTGATTCGTTTTCCTCACATACTGTAAGCTTCTAATACAAATGTTATATGTACGATTGTTAAAGTAGATGGACTTTTTCTTTCTGTAGATCATCATGGTGAGGCTGCAGAGAGTGACTGTCCTGGCTTTACACAACTACCTAGGCCTCACTAATGAGCTCTTCTGTCATGTAAGACACACACACACACACACATTATTATATTATTATATATTATATAGTGAAAACATTTGAATACATTTAATCGATTATTGAAAGCGTGATTATATACCCCAGTTTAGGAACAACAATGGTTTTATATCATTTCAGCAGACCGCAGTCGTTTCTTTCACATAGTACGTTATGTCAAATATATACATTTTGAATATAATAAAAAAAATAAATAAAACCCCGATAGTACTACTTTTCACCAAGTTCATCAATATTGCAGTTGATTATGTTCGAGGCTAAAGTTGCCACGATTAAGGTTTGAGTCGTTGTGCGTTGTTATCGTAAATGTTCTTTTCGCAGGAGATGCAGCCGCTGCGCTTACCCGTGCTCTCTCCACACGCCAACCGCACCAGCCCTGTACGCCACAGCAAACGCTTCAGCAGCCTCACTGTGCCCGAGGAGCAGCGGGAAGCCGCCGTGCGAGACGCCAATGGTAAGAACGCAAACCAAAAAGGTAGAGGAGAAAGGAGCAGGACACATCAAAGCATGCAGTGTTTGTTTAATTCTAACCCAAAAGCTTGTTCATTCAGAGTTTAATTGGTGTGTGAAATCATGGAATGCTTTCAGAAGATTCCACATCTGCTGTTGCAGTAAAGTAGGATGATGTCAGCACTGTTCTGGCAGAATTCAAACACCACACCCCATGTTACATCAGCACATTTCTGTCTATGATCATATCAACTAGATGAAAACATGAAAAAACAGTTGGCGTAATCTCAACCAAATGATCCATAAAGGTGCGTTCACACGCACAGCAATCAGTCGCTGTACTGTGAAGTCACCAGTAGGCGTTCCTACTACTGGTTACCATAGTAACATTTATCTTTTCGCAGCAAAACAGTTTTCTTGCCGCTAAAACGAAGCATTCTGGAGGGAGAGCTTTGTATATAAAATACACCCGCATATATATGTGTCGTATCCTACGAGATGAAGGACAAACAGCGTGTAATCTTTGGCATTCCGGCCATCTAACTACGTACAGTTACAGGTCCACGAACAGTTTGGACTCGCAGGCAGCACTACGGATCACGTGCGCTCACGTCTTCGCTCCCGTTGGTAGACGCTGCACCAAGTTGCTCAGAATTTGCACAAATTGAAACTTTTCTCAGCTTTGCCGCGTCACTGGACACGCCCACATCAAATCGCCGACGGTCGCTGTCGCTCATGTCTCCGGAAGTCACCCGCTCTCATTGAAAATAAATGTGGACTGCGGTCGCTTTGTCGCTGCGAGTCGCTGTCTGTGTGAACGTACCTTTAGATAAGTTGACCTTGAGTCTGCATCAGCATAGAGCACTTTGTCTTATTTTAATAGTTAAATAATAAATGTTAAGTGTGAAAAAATAAACTTGCGTTGTCTTGGCTGTGAATTTAAGCAGCGGATCATGGGAAGGAAGGCAGCACCATCCCGACCCTGAGCAGGGCTATCTCCATGCCTGTGGACATTGCTTGTGAGTGTGTTCTCAGTGTATGAGAGTGTGTGTGTGTGTGTGTGTGTGTGTGTGTGTGTGTGTGTGTGTGTGTGTGTGTGTGTGTGTGTGTGTGTGTGTGTGTGTGTGTGAAGTAAGGCATGTGCCTTGCAGTGATGAATCAGGAATAGTTTGTCATTTGATGTCATGTGATCCTCTGAAGCAACAGCTAGCACTATAATTCATAACAACAATATTACAGCAAATAAATGATAGGAGTGGTATTATAAATAAATTCTAATTACATAAATGAATAAATCATTTGTTTATAAATAAATAAATTATCATCTGGAATTTAACTATGTTTGGAGTCTCACAATTCTGTGCATTTTTAAAGAGACTAGAAAGAATATTAAGGGCTACTGTGTGTTTGTTGTGTAGTCATTAGTGAAATAAAGCATGTTGACTATTAAATAAAGAAAAACAGTGACTATTTATGCCTAAGTTTGTGTGTGTGTGTGTGTGTGTGTGTGTGTCTGTTGGGTTTGCAGGCATGCAAAAGGGTCTGCGTTCAGATTTCGACATGGCGTATGAGAGGGGCCGGATTTCTGTGTCTGCCGAGGATGGAACACCCACAGCACCCACGTTTACACGGGTTAGACACACACACACACACACACACACACACACACACCCACCCTAAAGCTCACATCTGACACTACTTATAGATTTTGAAAATGTGCACCCTTTAAAAATACAAAAACAGTCTCTAAGATTCATTGGAAGTCTTTAAAAGAAGCATGTTTATGAACCCTAAATACTGCATGTTTCCAATACGTGCCTAGTTCTATTCGTTTTTTTATCAGAATTCACGTTAAATAACGAGATGTTTATCTGCGTTTTTGACTAGTGATGTGTTTGTGTGTTTGTGTGTGTGTGTGTGTCAGGAGCAGCGAGAGAGAAGAGTAACAGTAGATGAGGTGCCGTCGGGCGTGTACCTGTACCCCGAGGAGGAAGTGAGCACGGAGAATGTTTACGGCCCGTTGCCGGGACGATCCAGCGCCACCCTGTTCGAGGAGGCTCAGAAGGAGTTTCTGAAACTAATGAAAATCGAGGTATAGCGATGTTTATGTGCTGCTTTAGGATCAGAATCAACACACACACTCACACACACAGATCATCTCCAGTTTCAGCGTATTCACAATATAACATTTGTGTCTATTTCTGTTTTGTTGCTCAGTTGGCTACGGTTCACTCTGCCCCCACACTCATTTCTTTAGCCTTTGTTCTTCGGTGTCATTTATCAGGACGCTGCACTGCTGAATGGACGAGTGACCTTGCATCATGCCAAAGCAGGCGCCGTCCTGGCCAGACAGGGAGACCAGGTAGGCCGAATCCTCCACATCCTTCCGTCTTTCTCTCCATCCTTCATCCTCATGCATATCGTAGTGTAAGAGAAAAAAATGCAGAGGATCTCAAAGAAGAATAACTTGAATTCCAGCGTGGCACCGACAAACTACATGAAGCACTTCGGGTTCGCCGGCGTCAAAGTGAACCCCGAACAATATCCGCAGAGGTGTTTCATACTGTGTTTCAAACCAGGTTTTCTGTATGTAATGTAAATAAAGTTGCATCCTAAATGTAAATGAATGCATTTGATACGGATGGTGTTACAGGTGTGACCCCAAATGATGAGGTGATAGAGCTTTCTGAATGCTAATTATGCTCATGTAGCCCTGTGTTCAGGGATGGTTCTTGATGGTGCTCCCGTGCTATAACTGTGTGAATGTCACTGCAGGTGGTATTACACACATATTTCTGAGACTGAGCAAAATCGTCCCTTTGATTATTCTGCCTTTTTAGGGAATAAGCTTCTCTTAACACAGTTCGGGGTGGACTCTTTAAGTCCTGTTCAAATTCTGTAAACCATCAACACAGTTGGTTTGAACGTGATACTTTGTTATTAAACTTCTCATATGTAAGCTGAAACTGAACCTAATGTTAATTGTTCGTCTATAATTAGCATGGATGTGTAGGTGAACAGAGTGTAAATAACGTTATAATTATTTACCATGAAAATAATAATAATGTAATTATAATTGAATTGATGAATTTAAAATTAGGCCTGTAATGAGAATGACTGTATGGACCTATCGTACGATATATGGACATTGATCATGATGGTTTTTTGCTGGCTTCAATATTGCGTGTTTGTTTACGTAATAAAACGTCACTCTCGTCCACTCTAGGGCTGTCAAGTTCAAATTCGAACTTTGAATATTCGTCGAATGTAAGATACAAATGCACAGTCGAATGCAAATACCGTGTAACCGTTTGAATTTAAGATGTGTAGCAAGCCCTAAAAATCTAGAAAGAATAGTTCAAGTGTTTCAAATCATCCAGTCATAGTCGATAATGCTGACGCGCTTAAGCTGCGTGAGATGAAGATGAACAGTGAATGAAGAGCAGTAAACTGAAGCGCTTTACTAGCGGGTTAATGAACTCACCCGACGCATCCTGCACACGTATGAGATTAATCAGACATTTACAGGCCTTTCTACAGAACTGCTGTCCCAAGACCAAAAAACACATTTAAAAAGCATTTAAGTATTCAAAACTTGGACATTTACTAAGATCCTTCTATTATCTTTCAAAACTCATAATAATGTTTAAAATAGCAGTAAGCTTAAATATATATATATATATATATATATATATATATATATATATATATATATATATATATATATAAATCATCGTTTATTGGTTATTTTCAAT